CGGGCTTAGGGCTTAGGGCTTAGAGCTTAGGGTTTCGGGGTTTCTTTGTGCTGGGCAAGCCTTCGGTCGACTTTGCTCTTGCAAGTAGGAGTCCGAGACCTCCAGCCCCCCTAAGCCCTAAACCCTGAACCCTCAACCCTAAACCCTAAACCCTCAACCCTAAAGACCTCAAAACATCATCGGCGCCCACGGCATGACAGCTAGACCCCTCACATCTCCCTACCCTGGAGACCTGAAATATGCTTAGGGTTTAGGGCTCTAGGGTTTAGGGTTTAGGATTTAGGATTTAGGGTCTAGGATTTAGGGGTTTTAGGGCTTAGGGTTTCACAAAACTGCGGATTGGATGCCACGGCTGGGTGATGCGCTGGGAGCCTCGAGAATGGGCCTTGCATTTGGAAACAGACGCATATGGGAAGTTCTCTACATGCTTTTTTCGTTTTCACTTTTTTCCTCTTTTTATTTTTTTGGGGGGGTCTATAAACGAGACGCAAAGTTGAGCAGAAGAACCGTGCGGAGAAATTGCGTGGCTCAGGGTGATGGTTTGTGGGGGCTCCATCAGTGCAGGGAAGAGAAGTCGATGGGTTGCAAGGCTTTTATGGTTGTTAAGGCGTTTCGACATGTCAAATGGGACACCTGGTCCTACAGTTCGGAAGAGACAGCCGTTTCTTTTATCGTTTTTGAGTCTGTTTGGCTTCCCTAAACCCTAAACCCGAAACCCTAAACCCTAAACCCTAAACCCTGGAGGGGGGCTTGGGGGGGCTCTGAGGAGCGTTTTGGGGCTCAAGTGTGCTGAGTTGGGTTGGGTCTGCCTGAAGGTTCATGGGTGACATCTACCACATGTAAAGTGATAGCTGCCGCTACAGTATAAGTAGGTTGTAGCTACAACTAACTTACTTCTATCTTATCTATAAGTTCAGGGGCTAGGGTTTAGGGTTGGTATGTTGTTCACGTGAGGGCCACCCTAAAGCCTAAGCCCTAAACTCGAAGGGTTTAGGGTCAATTTCGGGTTTGGGGTCTGAGGGCTTGGGGGTTCCGGGGCTGTAGGGTTTGGGAGTTTCGTTCTTTAGGGCTCCCGACCTAGAAGCCCGTATTGACTCAGTAAGTAGGGTTAGTAAGGGTTACGGGGATTACTGAAGGGTTTCTATTCTGGGGCATACAAAGTAGACTTACTAAGTCAAAAGGGCTTCCAAGCTAAACCCGAAACCCGAAACCCGAAACCTGGAACCCGAAACCCGAAACCCGAAACCCTATACCCGAAACCCGAAACCCTGAACCCTGAACCCTAAACCCCAACCTTTTGAACCTACAGCCCAGCGGCGGCGATTCTAAGGCTGCCATCGTAAGCTGCTCTGCCTTGGCCAGCAACCTTTGCTTGCAGAAACTGCGATCTTAGGGTTTAGGGTTTAGGGTTTAGGGTTTAGGGTTTAGGGTTTAGGGTTTAGGGTTTAAGGGTTTAGGGTTTAGGGTTTAGGGGTAGTTACGTGGTCCCTTTAGTATGGGCCCTTAACAGGGGACCCAAGTACATACCCCTTATCTACCCTTTAAGGGAGGGTAAGGGACCATATTCAGGGCCCATGAAACTACCGAGCAACCCAAAAACCCAAACCCCAACCAGTCTGGATTAACAGCTTTAGGACGTACGGTTCTTTATTCGGTACCCGGTACATTGGATGAGGGTTGCATGGGATGCTGGCCCTACAAAGGGCAAAAGTGCGCATCAGGGCGAAGTTCCTAGACCCCCAAGGCCCTGAGCTCCTCCTTGACATCAAACGCCTGGCGCCTCTCGGGTTAGAGAGTCGAGCGCGACAGGGTGTAGGATGTAGGGTTTCGGGCCTAGGGTGTAGGGCATGCTACATGGGAATCAAGAACTGAAAAGTGTCGATGGGGGTCAAGAACTGAAAAGTGTCTGCCGTGATTGCTAGGTCTCAGAGGTGTTCAGGCACAGGAGCGTATTGAGCTGTCCTTGCACATTCTCGAAGTCCTGGAAGCAGGTTCAGGATTCTCTTGCTAGTTTGTTGTTGGGGGTGGAGCGGGGGTGGGGGTTTAGGCATCTTGCGTTTAGGGTTTTTAGGGTTTAGGGCTAGGAGAAAATGCTGTTGTTATTCCCTCAGGTTAAGCTCCTGGCATTTTGAAACGTACCCCCTGCCGATTGAAGTCTTTGCCGGTTGGGCTTGTTTGGAGTAAGCGGTAATGTGCCTAAACCCGAAACCCTAAACCCTAGACCCTAAACCCCATACTTCGCCGGTATTTCCAGTAAGCCTGCCGTAGAAAAGCTGGGCTTCTGTGAGCAATCTAGAGGACACTAAGTACAAACACAATACTCATAGCTCCAAGTACCCATGTGAAAGATTCGAGGCAACCCGGAAACTCTGAAACCATTGGCTCCTGGCAAGTAGTCTCCAGAGACCTCGGCTCTCAGACTTGGGCCTTAGGGGGGGGGGGGGGGGGGGGGTGCTCAAGGTTTCGGGTTTGTGGGTTCGGGTCGAAGGGTTCAGGGAGCCTGTGGGGATCTGACTTCGACTCAGGTAGGTGGGAGGATCTTCGGGTCTTGGGTTGAGGGTTTAGGGTTTAGGGTTTAGGGTTTAGGGCTGCAAACCCTGCAGGGCTTTTTTTGCGTTCAGGGTTCGGAACCTGTTCTGTCCGAGCCACAGACCCTGAACCAATGCGTGTCCCAGTAGAAGAGGCCCTCTGGTTCTACCACAGGGGTCTCTGTGAGTAGAGTAGTATAAGGGTCGGAATCATTAAGAATAATATTCCCAAATGGTCCCTTTATAATTATACCCCCCAAAACCCTATTCCAATTATTCAGGGCCCTAGAGTAGGTTCTTGTCTGCTGGTTCACTTGATGATTACGACCATCGGGGTTTTAGGGTTTAGGGGTTTAGGGTTATCCTGGTCATCCTTGAAACCTTGAGCCCTACAATTACAACCACGACTTCCGAAACCCTGAACCCTAAACCCTAAACCCTAAACCCTAAACCCTAAACCCTAAACCCTAAACGGATGCCACCAAGACGCTTGATGATCTCCACCGGGTTTGCGGCATCCTTGGGCAGACAGGCTGGGCCCAGGGCCCGGAACCCTCCCGCCCCAGGCCCAAAACACATACAAAACCCAAACAGGAATCAGAAACTTCACCTAAAAATGAACCCTAAACCCTAAACCCTGAACCCTAAACCCTAAACCCTAAACCCTGAACCCTAAACCCTGAACCCTGAACTCGGACACTGGCGGCCGCCAAGTCGCCGCTGGCAGGTAGGACGACGCCGTGTTCGAGTTGGTTCCGTCATCTTCGAAAAACCTTGGTGCAGAGTGCCGGGTTTAGGGCTTAGGGTTTAGGGCTTAGGGGCTAGGGTTTAGGGTTTGGGGTTTAAGGTTTGCGGAGGTTAGGTCTGGCGATGCACGGCCTAGCACTGAGGGGGGTTAGGCGGGCCGGGTTTAGGATTTAGGGTTCAGGATTTAGGGTTCTGGGTTTGGGTTTAGGGTTTAGGGTTTAGGGTTTAGGGTTTAGGGGGTTTAGGGTTTAGGGTCTAGGGTTGCAACAAGCAAGAACAAAGGGAAGCCCATGGGAATTGCGCGCCGGGGGGCTGTGGTTTGCCTTGACGTTTGCCTTGGCGCCGCAGCACCTAGGGCAGGCTTGAGGGTTTAGGGTTTAGGGTTTACGGTTTAGGGTTTAGGGTTTAGGGTTTAGGGTTTAGGGTTTAGGGTTTAGGGTTTAGGGTTTAGGGTTTAGGGTTTAGGGTTTAGGGTTTAGGGTTTAGGGTTTAGGGCACAAGTCCTGATGCAAAAGGGTTTAGGGGTTTAGGGTTTTGGGGGGTTCGGGTCTTAGCTAAGTTTGGGGTGGAGGGTCCGGGGTTCAGGGGAGCCCTTCAGGGTTCACCTGCGGTAGCAGCCTTGCACCCCGTTCCACAAATGCTAAGGACAAAATAACACACGCCCCTTCATGGCAAAATGACAATTTTGCTGCAAACTGGCCTACCGTGAAAGCTCTGATCAGCTGTGAGTACGAGAGCCCTATATTCTGTGTGACTTCTATCAACTTCCAGTCTCAGAAGCTTTAACTGTGAGATCTGTTGACATGGAAATACATAATTACATATGGTAGCTGATCGCAACAGAATGGCTCCCAAAATGGTTATGACAGACAAGAGTTTCCCCTACTTGGAGGTTCATGGCACTTAATGACCAATCAAAACTGTACTTCCCAATCATAAGCCACGTAAGTGTCGTAATAGGGTGATAAGTACAGGTACAGGTAGAAGTACAGTTATAATTGGTTGGGGGTTCATGGCCCTACACTCTGGAAAAGGGACGCCCGGAAACCCTGGCTTCATAGAATCCAGGTGCAGGAAGTGTTTATCAGCCCCATCCTCAGGTGCATGAGCCGTGTAACCCTAAACCCTAAACCCCAAACCCTAAACCCTAAACCCTAAACCCTAAACCCTAAACCCTAAACCCTAATGTACCTTGAGGGCCTCCAGCATGGGGGTGGTCGTTGGATCTAGAGGTCCTCGACGGAAAGTTTCTCTGGGGAATCTACGGCTTGATAAGAAGAGCTGTACTTGGAGGTTCATGGTACTAAACCCTAAACCCTAAACCCTAAACCCTAAACCCCAAACCCTAAACCCCAAACCCCAAACCCTAAACCCTAAACCCGAAACCCGAGACCCCCAAAGCACCTTGGCCGACCGCCGCTTGCTGCTGACCTCTTTGGCCTGACGAGGTGCCGCGTGGGGCCCGTTTAAGACTTCGGGCCTAGGGAGCGCTGTACAAGGTTTAGATTTTAGGGTTTAGGGTATAGGGTTTAGGGTTTAGGGTTTTGGGTTTTGGGTTTTGGGTTTAGGGTTTAGGAAGAGCGCATCAGTCTGGAGCCAGAGACTAGGTTGAGGGCGGATTCAAGAAGAACCCACACACAGCCCAAAACTTGCTCAGCCCTCAAACGCTGAAAACGCTGACCCCGAAACCTTAGCATGTTCCCCCTTATACTAACAGTCCTTACTAAGGATTATACTAGGGGGAAGGGGGGGGGGGTTTACTACAATCCCGATTAAGGACTGCTAGTATGCGGGGGAGTATCCCAACCGAAACCCAAAGCTCCTAAAACCCAACCCGAACCCCGAACCAATAAACCCGAAAACCCGAAAACCCGAAAACCCTCAAATCTTCAACCCAATACTGCAGTCTGGCCCTAAACCTTATGCCCAAACACCCAAGATCCCAAAAACCCAAAACACATTGATCCTTGACAGGGCTTGGGGTTTGGGGGGGGTTTAGGGTTTAGGAGTTTCCGGTTTAGGGTTTAGGGTTGAGGGTTTAGGGTTTAGGGTTTAAGGTTTAGGGTTTATAGAAATTGCATAGGGTTTGTGTCCGGAGTTTTGGGCGGGTTTTGGGCGAAAGTTTTGAGCGAGTTTGTTTTGTTGCTTTCCAAAAGTTTTTTTTGCTTTTGGACTGAGGCTGGGGCTGGAGCTGGAGCTGGGGGGCTCAGGCTGGGCTAGGCTGGGGATGGGGCCGGGGCTGGGGCTAGGGGCTAGAGGCTGGTGTGCTTTGGATTGGGATATTCAACATGATACAACCACTTTGGATGAATTTGCTTAAGCTCTGCTTGTCAGCTGTTTAGACAAATAACTCGGAACCCAGAGAGAGCTTTAAGTGAATTGAATATTTGGCCTTCCGAAGGCGCTTTGAATTCATTTAGACAGACAAATCATGTGGGATATTCACGATGATGCCACATACCATTTCTATTTATCCTGGTCTTGAGGGTTTTAGGGTTTAGGGTTTAGGGTTTGGGGTTTGGGGTTTAGGGTTCAGGGTTCAGGGTTCAGGGTTCAGGGTTCAGGGTTCAGGGTTTAGGGTTTAGGGTTTAGGGTTTAGGGTTTAGGGTTTAGGGTTTAGGGTTTAGGGTTGAGGGTTTAGGGTTTAGGGTTTAGGGTTTAGGGTTTAGGGTTTAGGGTTTAGGGTTTAGGGTTTAGGGTTCGGGGCCCAGGCCCTGAAAACCCCACAAGCCCTGAAGCAGACCTGCCTTCTCTTCCAGGCCTGGGATGCCCGCCAAGAGGTCGAGCTGCTCGTTGAGCATGTCATACCTGCGAAAGCCCCAAGTATAGTCAGGGTTTAGGGTTTAGGGTTTAGGGTTTAGGGTTTAGGGTTTAGGGTTTAGGGTTTAGGGCTTCGGGTTTAGTGGTTTAGGGTTTAGGCTTTTGGGATTTGCGGTCTCATGAACCCACACAAACAAATTTGCCCATAATCCCTCAACACCCTAACGCCTAAACCCCTTAACCCAAAGCCCTAAACCCTGAACCCTAAGCCCTCAAGCCCTCAAGCCCTCAAGCCTTCAACCCCAGACCCCATTCAGGGGTTCGGGGTTGGGCTTTTGCCACATGGTAGCCCAGTAACAAGATTAAGATGTTGGGGAAACCTTCTTTCAGTGGGTTTAGGGTTTAGGGTTTAGGGTTTAGAGTCTGGGGTTTAGGGTTTAGGGTTTAGGGTTTAGAAGGTAGTGTTGACCTTACATTAACCTGGACAGCCCACTAAAGCTCCATTTCCGCAGTTTTAGAACCACCCCGTTGTAAGGAACTCGTCCACGGGGATCCCGTTTGGACAAGGGCTTCAGGTTTAGAGTTTCGGGATAGCTTAGAGTTTAGGGTTTAAAGAGGGTCTAGGCAAAGTGTTTAGAGCTTAGGGTAGACGAGGAATGCCCTCAAAAGCCCTCTGAGCAATACTCCTAAATATAGTCCTCTTAAACGCAACAAGGGAAAAATATCATATGTTCCAAGGGCCTAGTAGATCTTTTAGGGAACTGGCACACGGCATGGCCCTCGACAACATGCCTGGATCGAGGCTGCCACGACACTTTGCAGAACACACGCCACCAAAACTGCTCATCATTAGGGTTCTAGGGTTTAGGGTTTAGAGCTTGGGGTTTAGGGTTTAGGGTTTAGGGTTTAGGGTTGAGGGTTGAGGGTTGAGGGTTTAGGGTTTAGGGTTTAGGGTTTAGGGTTTAGGGTTTAGGGTTTAGGGTTTAGAGCTTAGGGTTTAGGATGAATCAAGACTCAGGCTGACCGACCAGGCTTCTAAGTGCGGAGCCCCCTGCCAGCAACCCCACCGCGGACCCGCAACCCCAGAAAAAGGAGTACAGGGTGGACCAGGGGGGCTCCCTTAGGAATCTAAATTTCCCCCGCCAAAACCAAGCCTGAGCTCGGCAGGATTCGGTGCGGGGGCGAGGCAGGGCAGGGGGGGGGGGGGGGGGGGGGGGAGACCTTCGCGGTTTTGCTTCGTCTGGGACACTTGAAGGCTCAGGGCGAAGTAGGGGAAACCCCTACTTCGATTGCAACCCCACCTAAACCTGAGCCCTCAACCTAAATCTGAGCTAAACCCTAAACCCTAAACCCTAAACCCTAAACCCCCTGGTCCCAGAGCACTGCTCGGTCAGCAGCTCGGTATGCTCGGACATGAGGTTCAACACATCCTCAGCAAGGCTTCACGCAGCTTCAGGGCTTTCAAAGGACTTAGGGCTTCTTGGGCGTGGGGTTTAGGGTTTAGGGTTTAGGGTTTAGGGTTTAGGGTTTAGGGTGTAGGGTTTCGGGTTTAGGGCTTAGGGTTTAGGGTTTGAAGTTGAGGGTTTAGGGTTCAGGGTTTACGGCTTCCTGGCGCCCTCCTAGGCTCTCAACATGAAGCCCTATACCCCGAACCCAGCCCTAAACACAAACCCCCAAAAACGCCCAAGCCCGAATTCCTGTTCGGGGCGGAACAGGAAACCCTGAAAACCCCAAACTCGAGGCCCTAAACCCTAAACCCCTAAACCCCTAAACCCTAAATCACAAAACCTAAACCCTAAACATGAAACCCCAAAACCTAAGCCCTAAACCCGTAGCCCTAAACCCAAAACCCCAAACCCTCCCCGCGCAACAGGCCTTGCAAATCAGCTTTCGAAGTTCCATGATGGAGTACCTTCGGGACAAGGATCCGGGTGCTGAGGGCGTAGCAGGAGGAGCTTCAAGGTTTTTTGTGGGTAGCGTTTAGGATTTTTAAGGTTTAGGGTTTAGGGTTTAGGGTTTAGGGTTTAGGGTTTAGGGTTTAGGGTTTAGGGTTTAGGGTTTAGGGTTTAGGGTTTAGGGCTTAGGGCTTAGGGCTTAGGGCTTAGGGTTTAGGGGGCTTAGGGCCTCTTCTTGAACCTGCACAGATGTGGTGCTCAACGACCTTGAGGGAGCAACCCCGAAGGCCCCTAACGAGCCCGCCGTTGCTTCCCACGAATTCGGAGCTCGGAAGCCACGGCGAACCCTCAAAATTAGGGTTTAGGGTTTAGGGTTTAGGGTTTAGGGTTTAGGGTTTAGGGTTTAGGGTGTCAGCCACCCGGTGTCAGACCCGCAAAGCGGCGCCTAATCAGGGAGTTCATCATGAGCGGATCCCGCTTCCGAAAGTTGCCCAGCTGTTGGCAGAACTCCACGTAGGAGACCTCTCGTGTCGAAACCGCCCCCTTTGGGGTTTAGGGTTTAGGGTTTAGAGTTTAGGATTTAGGGTTTAGGGTTTAGGGTAAATAACGCCAAACTCAGGGTGTTGATTTGGCGGGGGGGGGGTTCCTAGGATAAGGATTATACTATTTGGGGATACATGTGGGAGGGCCCCCCTTACTTTGGGGAAATGACGTGACTAGTCAAACCCCCCAAAGACAGGACCTCATCAATGGGCGTACGCCCTACGGGTGTCTACACACACAGTTCGGAGTCACTTTGGGACCAGCGTGCTGCGATCACCAAGCCCGAAACCCGGGATCATGTGTAGCTATCTCGTGGCTCGAAACACAACTATGATGCTCAGACCCTAAACCCTAAACCCTAGCCCCTAAACCCTCAACCCTAAACCCTAAACCCGAATTAATCTCTAAACCCTAGGAGCCTTCAAGCAAGCCCCGGAACCCTGAAACGTATGCCGCCTCTCCGGAGCTGTCCGAATCCAAGACATTGAAAATCGTTTCCTGGGCGTGTTTAGGGTTTAGTGTTTAGTGTTTAGGGTTTAGGGTTTAGGGCTTAGGGTTTAGGGTTTAGGGTTTAGGGTTCAGGGTTTGCGCGGGCGTTTCTCTGGCTGGGGGAACTGGAAACTCCACCAGTGTAGGGCTTAGGGTTTGGAGTTTAGGGTTTAGGGTTTAGGGTCTAGTGTTGAAGGTTTAGGGTTTTAGGGTTCCGGGCTTAATCGTTTCACTCTAAACTTGGAGGTCCGTGGGCAGTTGCAAGTAAGGTCGAAGGCACCTGCCTGGGGCTACAACTGCTGCTACCCCGTTTGCAAATCTACTTTCTCGTGCCCATGAACCTTCAAGTGAAACCCTAGATCCTAAACCCCGAAATCCGAAACCCTGAACCCTAAACCCCGAAACCCGAAACCCTGGACCCTAAACCCCGAAACCCAAAACCCTGAACCCTCAACCTGTTTGAGGCGTCTGGGCTGGAGACCCGGACAGACCCGGCCAAGCTGCCATATCCGGCCTTCGGATGTCCATTACCTGACGAGCGTCGTCCGACGCGCAGCTCGTGGTTTCGGGGTTTAGGGTTGCAGGGCTTAGGGTTCAGGGTTTCGGGGTCTAGGGTTTCGGGGTTAGGGTTTCGGGGTTTAGGGTTTAGGGTTTAGGGTTTAGGGTTTAGGGTTTAGGGTTTAGGGTTTAGGGTTTAGGGTTTAGGGTTTAGGGTTTAGGGCTACATGTGGGGTTTAAGGACACTTGCCGTACTTATCACCCGACTCGCAAGCACCCACGAACCTTCAACGAGGTTGTGTTCAGTGAGGGATGAAACTCCCTAAGCCCTAAACCCTAAACCCTAAACCCTAAACCCTAAGCCCTAAACCCTAAACCCTAAACCCCACCGAGGCTTGAGAGACCTGATTTCAGCCGGGTCACACAGGAGTGCCAGCTCCACCATGTGCTTCTCGCGCTCCGCATCCTCTCCGCGAAGCTAACGAACCCTGATCCTCCCCAAACCCGAAGCCCAAAACCCTAAACCCTAAACCTTAATCCCTAAACCCTAAACCCTTCTGCCCTAAACCCTAAGCCTAATCCCTAAACCCTAAACCTTGATCCCTAAACCGGTTGAGGGCTTCGGGGTTGGTCGCAACCCTCAAGCAACCTCGACTCTGGCTCCAGGAAACCCATAGCTCCTGCTCCGACAACTCAGGGTTTAGGGTTTAGCCGTTTTTTATGGTTTAGGGTTTAGGGCTTAGGGCTTAGGGCTTAGGGCTTAGGGCTTAGGGCTTAGGGCTTAGGGCTTAGGGCTTAGGGCTTAGGGCGTAGGGCTTAGGGCTTAGGGCTTAGGGCTTAGGGCTTAGGGCTTAGGGCTTAGGGCTTAGGTTTGGGAAGCCCTGAACCCAAACTCAAAATAGGGGATATTCCCCAATATAACCCAAATGCTCTAATCCTCATTGTAGGAACCCCCACAATTGTACCCCCTAAGCCCTAAAGGGTTTAGGGTTTTGGGCTTGCTTGTGGCGTTTTGTCGAAAGCCGTCCTTCTTCTGCATCTTCCGGGTCTGGTCATTCTCCCGCGCTTCCGCGGCCCGTTCCACGATGACCTGGTGCCCTAAACCCTAAACCCTAAACCCTAAACCCTAAACCCTAAACCCTAAACCCTAAACCCTAAACCCTAAACCCTAAACCCTAAACCCTAAACCCTAAACCCTAAACCCTAAACCCTAAACCCTAACCCTAACCCTAAACCCTAAACCCTAAACCCCAAACCCTAAACCCTAAACCCTAAACCCTAAACCCTAAACAAAAAAGTACCCCAAAGATTCGAGGCTTGAGGGCAAAAACTCGGGGATCCGAAGCCCAAGCGCAGCCCAGCCCAGGCCGAAAGCCCCACTCCTTTACAAGACAAATCAAGGCCTAACCTGTCGGTCTGACGAAGATTGGAGCTGAGAATTCCATGGTTTCAGGGGCCTCTGGGCTTCAGGGGCTGCATCTCAAGCATGGCGATAAGCAATGTAACAGCACCTACAGCCCTAAATGGACACGAAAAGCAGCACTAATTGAACTTGCTTACATGGACCTTCACCCCAAACCCTAAACCCTAAACCCTAAACCATAAACCCTAAACCGTTGGACCTTCAAGTGGGCGTTCACACACTTTTTGGGGTCAAGGAGTTGGGGGGCTCCAATGCTTCAGGGCTCGTAGAATTGTGAGACTCAGGGTCTAGCAAAGATACTCTATACGTACATGTATACACACTTTACCATTTAAAAATAAGATTACATATAACAAACAAAACTGTATGATATTGAGTATCCACATATATATATATATACGCTACCCCCCCCCCCCAGCGACCTACCCTTTTTAGCGCTTTTTAGGCCTTTTTAACAAAAAATAACAAAGAAGGCCCAAAAGTCGCGTAGTTAATCACTGAAGGACAGTTACTGGGACACCCACCTCACAGACCCCGATAAGCCAGCATTGGAAGAATCTACATTTTGAATCTGAAGCGGACAATGCTGTTTTTAGATGTTTAGATCAGTGTTTTTCTATGCAAATTGTGCCTTTCAAGCGCAATTAATGTTTTGTTGAGCAACTAATTTATTTATACAATTGTGTTTGTACGAGGCAAAGTATTAATCAAATAGTGAAACATTTTTCTTGGTTCTATGCGAATTTAGCTACTAGAGTAATTATTCAGCAAAGAGCCCAATTTGACTCAAGTGAATACTATTTAACGGAGCATACTCAACCAAGATACGAAATAAACACCATTCTCAACCAAAAAATGGCAAAGTGTGCGTTTAAAGTGCAAATACTGTGTTTATACAATTGTGTCTGTACTAGGCAAAGTATGCTCTCTGAAAAGTCCACTGAAATACCTTATGTTTACATATTCATGAATCCTTTTTTTGAAATAATCATTTTATGCGAATTTAGCTACTAGAGTAATTATTAAGCAAATAGCCCAATTTGACTCAAGTGAATACCATTTAAAGGACCATACTCAACCAAAATACGAAAGAAGCACCATATTCAACCAAAATATGGCAAAGTGTGGTTTAAAGGGCAAATAGTGCTTTGTTGAGCAACTAATGCATTGAAACAGTTGTGTTTATACCAGGCAAAGTATTATTGAAGTACTATCTGCAAAGTCAAATGAAACACCTTATGTTTACATATTCATGAAACAATTTTTTTGAGGTATTCATTCTATGCGAATTTAACTACTAGAGGAATTCTTAAGCAAATAGCCCAATTTGACTCAAGTGAATACTATTTAAAGGACCATACTCAACCAAATACGAAATAAACACTTGCGGAAATGGAAATGGTTCTACCTACATAACAATGAGACAAAGATTGCTGAAGTATTCACCAAAGACCACTTATATACTATGTCTGAAAAGCACAATTTGCATGAGCAAGCTTAAAAATGCACAATAATGGAAATAGAAGCGGTTCTACTTACATAACGATGAAACAAAGATGTCTGAAGTATTCAATAAAGACCACATATACACGATGCTTGAAAAACGCAACTTGCACAATCAGGCTTAAAAATGCACAAGAATCCTAGAAAAGTACTTAGTGAAGGCCATACACAAGCAAATTCACAAATACATAGAAACATCCAAAAGCGCAAGCTTTTCAGGAGAATCTCTGGTAAAGTTTGGATTATAGGGTTTTGGGGTATTCCTGGACGAGTAGGCGTCACTTTTTAAGCAAACAATTCTAAGCAATAAATGCTTTTTCTCAAGACAAGTATTGCAAATGCTGCTTCTAGATAATTAATCGCATTTACCAGGCAAATATTATCCATGCGAATTGAGCTACCAGAGCACCAAGTAATGGCTGAACAAGGTCTACTGCACTTGAGTACAACCAAAAGATGCACTAAACACTAGCGGCTCTACTTGCATAATAACGAAACAAAGAGTTCTGAAGCACTAGAAAGACCACTTGTATACTATTTCTGAAAAGCACAATTAGCATAAGCACACTTAAAAATGCGTAGTTGTTGCCTCGTGACCGTGAAGTGAAGGCGAACCAAAAAGCCAAAATACCAAAACCAAAAAACCAAAAATACCAAAACCAAAAAAACCAAGAAAAACAAAACCAAAAAAACCAAAAACACCAAAAAAAACAATTTTCCGGGACTCTTGGAGAAGCCTCATAGGGATTTCCTGAGAGTCCCGGAAAATTGGTTTTTTTGGTATTTTTGTTTTTTTGGTTTTGGTTTTTTTGGTTTTTTTGGTTTTGTTTTTTTGGGTTTTTTTTGGTTTTGTTTTTTTGGTTTTTTTGGTTTTGGTATTTTTGGTTTTTCTACTGTCCCGTGTATGCGATTTTAGTTGTATTTTAGTCTACGCCCTAGGAAGTACGCTGTATTGCACACCGAGTTTGCTTGCAGTGCAGCTGGGTGACTTGAGACAAGGCGAAAAAGGGTAGGTCACTGGGGGGGGGGTACCATATATATATATATATATCAAACTTGATATGCTAGATTTTCCAGGAAGATCCGGGATGCGGCCAAGATCAAGTTCATGACGCCCAAGGAGATGGTCATCACGCTCAGGAAGAGCACGGGCACGGTCCAGGGAAACCTCCGGGCTGAGGGCTCAGGCTGAAACAAAGATGCTGAGATATTCGAAGATGCTACTCGAGGATGGCCCTTGAAGCCCTCTGAAAAATGTTCCTATATGTGGTCCTCGTAAACCCAATAAGGGAACATGCAAAATAACCCCAAGGGCCTACCTAGCCATGTGCAGGACTTGTGGGTGTAAGTAAGGCTACTAATTGCTTAAGAACTCCATGAAATATTTTTTAAAAAAACAACGAATCTTGCTCATAAAGGGTCATATGGGGATTATTGTTCTTTATTTTGGGGGTTCTTAAGCAAACAGTAAGTAAGGCTTGTAGTTTGGCAACTCCTAAGCCATGCAGGAGCCGAGCTCGGCTTTTCCAACTAAAGAGGCCTTCGAGGGGTAACTCATGCCAGTTTAGGGTTCAGGGCTTAGGGTTTAAGGGTTAAGGGTTTAGGGTTTAGGGTCTACGGTTTAGGGTTTAGGGTTTAGGGTGCTGTTTGTCCCAGTGGCAAGTTGCAGGCTTGAGGGGCGGAACACTGGGCTAAAAAACCTGACTACCCAAACCCGTATCTTGACAACCTGCAAACCCTACAGCGCCTCTAGGCTCCTAAGTTGCTCTCCTACTTGGAGGTTCATAGGTACTTCCTAACCAATGCCAACGGTACTTGTAACTGTACTGATAACCATATGAGGGCACTTCAGGGGGGGTTATAAGTGGGTTAAAGGTACAGTTATAATTGGCCAATACGTACCATGAACCTCCAAGCAAACCCCGAGTCCTAACCCTAAACCCTAAACCCTGAACTCTAAACCCTAAACCTCCAGTACTTCAGGACTGAAGCATTTTTGTCAGGGCTGAGCGACATGAGTCTTAAGGTTGCAGGTTGAGGGTTCAAGGTTCAGGGTTTAGGGTTCAGGGGTTTAGGGTTTAGGGTTTAGGTTTTAGGGTTTAGGGTTTAGGGTTTAGGGATTAGGGGGTTTTCGGCTTGAAGGTTGAGTCCACGCCCAGCACCCAGCCTCTCCGCCAGCGGCAGTGAGATCTCACCCCATGAGTCTCCTGCCACAGCGTCTGGAAAGCAAGGTTTTAGGATTTTAGGGGTTTAGGGTTCTAGGGGTTTAGGGGTTTAGAGGTTAAGGTTCTAGGGATCTAAGGTTTAGGGTTTTATTGTTTAGGTTCTGGAGTTTCAGGCTTAAGGGTTTTAGGGTGCAGAGCACCCTTCATCCGAAAAATCCTGAGACACTCTAACCCAACAAAACACCAACTACGAGAATATACAAGAAACTAGTGAGAATCATGAAACTGCCCCTCAGAATCATGCTACAACCCTAAACCCTAAACCCTAAATCCTAAACCCTACACCCTGAACCCTAAACCCTAAACCCTGAACCCTGAACCCTGAACCCTGAACCCTAAGCCGCTGTTGTGTTGGGGTACAGAATGGGGGCTTGCGGTCAGGGTAGATCTCGCAAGGTCCGTTGGGTGGTGGAGCTTGCCCAATTAAGACTGAACAAGTATGACTTGGGATGTTTTATACTAACAGTCCTTAATAAGGATTATAGTACCCCCGATTAGAATCCCAAAGTATGACCGTTTAAAGCTCACTAGAACTCCTGTAAAATGCACCCTCAAGACCCTAAACCCTAAACCCTAAACCCCTGAACCCACAAAACAACCCTCAGGCTAAAATCATCCCAAAAAAACTGAACCCCTAAACTGTCCGAAAACTAAACCCTCAACCCTAAACCCTCAGCCCTAAACCCTAAACCTATAAACCTTAAAGCCCTAAACCCCGGGAGTCTCCTGCCACAATCTGCTGAAAGATCGTGAGCGCTGCACTCTGGACGCTGTCAAAGCCTGCCTGACCTCGGTGCCGGGTGAGCTTCTACCCCCCCCCCCCCTCTAGGGTTTAGGGTTTTGGGTTTAGGGTCTAGGGTCTAGGGTTTAGGGTTTAGGGTTTAGGGTTTAGGGTTTAGGGTTTAGGGTTTAGGGACCTGAGAACCACAACGCAAAACAACATTCATACCTCGGGTTCATGATTCTTAAGACTAGTTGTTCTGAGTTCCCGTGGGCTGGCGGTTCTTGCGTTCTGGGCTTCAGGGTTTAGGGTTAAGGATCGGGAGCTGTTGGGCTTTGGGGTGAAGACTGCAAGGCTCGACCAGCTTTAGGAACACTACGCAGTCTCGGGGCATGGGGCACACACCCTTTGAGCCTTAAACTCTAAACCCTAAACCCTAAACCCTTGGCCATGAATTTCGTTGAGGGAAAACCAGCTCCGCAAAAGACCTGCTGTCCAACAAAAGCTGTCGTCCGGATTCAGGGCACACCGGGGCACACACACCCTAAACCCTAAACCCTAAACCCTGAACCCTGAACCCTAAACCCTAAACCCTAAACCCTAAACCCTAAACCCTAAACCCTAAACCCTAAACCACAACCCTAAGCTCCAGCCCCAAAGCCCCCGTTATGCTAGCAGTCCTTCATACTCGGGGGTACTACAGTGCCTAGTAAGGACTGTTAGTATAAGCTATACTGAACTTGGAACCCTAGCTAAAAATTATTTTTTCTTGTTTCTTAAGAGTCATCGTACCCGAAAATTAGAAATTAATTCCAAGTACCCCTATGTAAGGGGGAACATCCCAACCCAAGCTCTGAACGCCCAAACTGGCAGCTTCGGGACAGCGAGGACAGGATGGGTAGTCGATCAGCACATTGCAAGGGTGCAGCACCTCCACTGCAATGATGGCCTCAGGGCTCTGAGTTGGGCGCACAAGTGGCTGCTGGCTTCGTTTTGGGATTTAGGACTTGGGGGGGTTTAGGGGTGTAGGCGTGAGGGCCCTAAACCCTAAACCCTAAACCCTAAACCCTAAAGCCTAAAGCCTAAACCCTAAACTTAGGGCTTACAGCTTTGGGAACTCGGGGCTTGGTCCACTTCAACTGACGCCCCGTGCTGTGGGGGCGATTGGCTGTGGGAGATCCAGGAATCTCGAACTTCGGCGCCTTATCAAGGCCCCCTCAATGTCAGGGTGGTTGTCAAAGTTATGGTCCCTTTTTGGATCCCCTAAAATTCGGCACCGAATATTTAGGGTACCCCAAAAGGGATCATAATTTTGACAGCCACCCGTGTGAATGAATGGGCCTCGGCCCCTGAGACCCCAACCCGGGCCGTTGTAGTCTGGGTGTAAGTCGGCTCAGGGTCAAGGGCTGCCGACAATGACCACTTTACGCTTGCATAGGGACATGTGCCTGCACCCATGTTTCCGAGGTACGAGGTCACTTTAGGTACAGTAGATGTTCAGGGCTTAGAGCGACTTAGTCCAAACCGTGAACCCTAAAGCACGAGAGAGAAAGCAAAAAGAAGAAAAGAATGACAGGGCCCCGAGCCCAGACGAGAATGACCGCCAGCAGCATGATGGACCCGAAGACGATGGCTTTCAAGGAGTGGCTAAGCCCACTGACTAGGATGTAGAACTCCGGGACGGAGATCACCTGACGCGCATGGGCAGAGATCGGTGTTGCGACAGAGCTTGCTCGGCCTCCGCAGCACAAATACCTAGCACGCCCATGGCCGGGTACAACGAATCGAGGCACCCCAGACAAGGGTGGGCGGGCCAGCCGATTGGGGCTTAAGATTTTTGGAACAAGGGAATGCAAGGGGCTTACAGGGGCTTCCTCTCAGGCCCTTAGAGCAAAGTCGTGTCGCCACTCGGGCAGCTCTCATCAAACGCACCACGCGGAAGAGCCGGAGGACGTTGAGATTCCTTGAAGGATCTAGGGAGCAACACGAGTAAGATCCAAACAACGGAGTATACAACCCTAAACATAACGTGAAAGGGTCCCGTACCAGTGCGTCCCCAAGCTTCACAGCGGTGGACAGCACGACGCCAGCCCAGCCAAGAACCACCGTGAGCAGATCGATTTGGTTCCACCGGTTCCAGAAGTACATGCTGCGCTCCACGAAGGCGCGTGCGAAGCACTCCACCGTGTAGATGACGAGCAAGGTTATGTTCACCGCTTGCAGCCACCGCAAGCTGTAGCTACCCGAGGAGCAGTCTCGAAGGTCGTCATACGTGCTTTCAGAGTCTGAATAGCAAGTGGCGTCGGCATTCGTCTCGATGACCATGATGCCAATGTTGAAGGCAATGACGGCGCCCATGACGGTCTCGAACATCTGCGAGAGGACCTTTGCGTGCACTCTGAGGCTGAAACAACTTCGGGGTTCAGTGCTACACTTTGGCTGCAACATGCTCTGAGATGTTGGCATATCAGTTTATCCTTACACTTCCCCTAAACCCTAAACCCTAAACCCTAAACCCTAAACCCTAAACCCTAAACCCTAAACCCTAAACCTTCCGAGCCACGCGGCCAGCTTTGAGAAAGGCTCCCAAAGGACTTGACTAACTCCGCCTCCTCGAAACCCTCAAAGCCGAGCCCGAAAAACCGTGAACCCCTATCTATGTACTTGGAAGCCTAGAAACCATCTCATAGTCCCCATAGCCCAGCTTGCTAGCCCTACTTACTAAGTCAAAGGGGCTTCCAAGTAAAACAAGTCCCCCGACTTTAGACCAGGACCTAAACCCTCAGCGGGGGAGTTAATCTGAATGAGAGCCCCGATTTTTTGAGGGGGCTTTCGGGGGTGCCTTGGTAAATAGAAATTTGGATGATTGTTGTATGTGTATATAGGGACTATGTAAACCCTAAACCCTAAACCCTAGACCCTAAACCCGAAACCCTAAACCCTAAACCCTAAAGCCTAAGCCGGAAACCCAAAAACCAAAAGCCTTAAGAAAACCCGAAGCCCTTGAAGGCAGAGTCGCGTCTAGGATTTAGGGCTTTAGGGTTTTAGGGCGTTTTAGGAATTTAGGGTTTTCGGGCTTTAGGTTTTAGCGTGTAGGGTTTTAGGGTTTAGGGTTTAGAGTTTAGGCTGGTAGGGTTTCAGGGTTTTAGGGTTTTATGGTTTTAGGGTTTTAGGGTTTTAGGGTTTTAGGGTTTTAGGGTTTTAGGGTTTTAGGGTTTTAGGGTTTCGGGTTTTACGGGTAGGTTTTCGGGTTTTAGGGGTTAGGGTTTTGGGGTTTTAGGGTTTTTGGGGGTTTAGGAGGCTTTAGGGTTGAAGATGCTTTAGGGGTTTTAAGGGCTGCAGGGTTCAGGGCCCGTAGGGTTGGGCAAATGGCAGATGCAACCCGTAGCAAGGCTCCTGAACCCCAAAATATGGGGCGGCCAGCATTGAAAGGCTTAGGAAGTCTATGATATTCTTTTTGATCTAGGATCCAGAATAGGCTCATATTCCCATTTTTGAGGGTTTAGGTTCCCTTATAAGCCTCTTTGAATCAAAAAGGGCACCCCTTTTTTGCCTAATGAGGGGAAATTCTTAGTGATTAATCCGACCCCTATAGTAGTTCTATAAAATAAGGTCCCAAACCCACAAGTCTTGAAAGCCCCCCACTGCCTCCAAACGAACTTTAATGAGACAACCCCCTAAACCCCTAAACACTCTACACCCTAACTCCTCAACTCAATCATTTTATGGTGCTTCTTAGGAATTGGAGTACCCAAACATTAAAAACTATCTCCAAGTACCCCAAAGTCTCGGAAACCTCGGCCTGAGCCCCTAAACCCTAAACCCTAAACCCTAAACCCTAAACCCTAAACCCTAAACCCTAAACCCTAAACCCTAAACCCTAAACCCTAAACCCTAAACCCTAAACCCTGACAAACAGACCCAGGGAGGCCGTGGCACTACCTCGGCCATCGCGATCCTCGCTGGGCTCCAGATCACATTCCCGTCCTGGCACTTCACAGAACGGTCTTCAAGCCCCTAAACCCTAAACCCTAAACCCTAAACCCTAAACCCTAAACCCTAAACCCTGAACCCTAAACCCTAAACCCTAAACCCTAAACCCTAAACCCTAGACCCTGGGCGGACAGGGTTTAGGGCGACCCAAGAACCCAGGAGTCAAAAAGGGTGCCCTTTTGGGATCAAAGGGGGCACAGAAGGGAACCTAAGCTCAAAGAAAGGAGAAGGGCCGACTCTGGGTCCTAGATTCCCTTAAGGGTAGCGTGATCTCAGGCCACCGAAATGGGTTTAAGGCCCAGGGCTTTGGGTTCAGGGTGTGGGTTTTTCGGCTGTCTCGCTGTGGCGCCATGCGAATCTGTGCGCGGCCGGCGGCACTCTCGATGTGGCGCCGTGAACGCGGGCCTACGGGGTGTTCATGGCGCTGGGATGCTCTCATTGTGTACCAAGCCAGCCCTAAACCCGAAACCCTAAACCCGCCTAAACCCTAAACCCTAAACCCTAAACCCTAAACCCTAAACCGTGCACTTTCGCCACGTCGGAGGATTTGAAGATCGGTGTCTCCCTGGACACCATCCTTCGAAGTCGCGCAACCATCGCGGCCCCGTGGCGCATGGCTCCTCTTGGGCCTTAAGCGCCGGGCTCCTGCGAGTGACGCTTGTGAAGTGCCGCCATCATCGGGTCGGTAGTTCAGGGTTCAGGGCTTAGTTAGGGTTGAAAGATTAAGGGTTTAGGGTTTGTGGTTTAGGGTTTAGGATTTAGGGTTCGAGGGTTTTTGGTTTAAAGATGGTCTTACACAAGTCTTACACGTTGTGGCGTCTCACAGGTTGTGGTCGACGGCTTCATGTCTTGCCACGTTCGCAAATCGCGCGCATGTTTTCTTTACGCTGTCATCCTCCAGGGTGCCACATGCTGCTTGAGGTCAACGCCGGAATGAATATTCAGTTCCGAACCCCTAAACCCGAAACGCTGAACCCTAACCCCTACATCCTAGACCCTAGACCCTAAACCCTAAATCCTAAACCCTAAACCCAAAACCCTAAACCCTAAACCCTAAACCCTAAACCCTAAACCCTAAACCCTAAACCCTAAACCCTAAACAAAAAAGTACCCCAAAGATTCGAGGCTTGAGGGCAAAAACTCGGGGATCCGAAGCCCAAGCGCAGCCCAGCCCAGGCTGAAAGCCCCACTCCTTTACAAGACAAATCAAGGCCTAACCTGTCGGTCTGACGAAGACAGGGGCCTCCGGGCTTCAGGGACTGCATCTCAAGCATGGCTATAAGCAATGTAACAGCACCTACAGCCCTAAACCCTAAACCCCAACCCAGACTTCCCAAACACCCCGACGGAGAGAAAGCAGAGAGAGCCTCATCCAGCCAGGGCTTCCAGAAGCTGCTCTTGTAGCGCAAGGAGTCCTTCTCCTGCAGGGCTCGTTGGGTTTAGGGTTTGGGGTTTAGGGTTTAGGGTTTAGGGTTTAGGGGTTTACGGTTTAGGGTTTAGGGTTTCGGGTTTTTGGGTTTAGGGCCCCCTCCAACCCCTAAAGCTCCCAACCTCCACCCCCCCCCCCCCCCCCCACAACCAAACAAAGCCCCTCAAACCCCTAAAGCTCCCAACCCCCCCCCAACCAAAAAAACAAAGAATAATTTGAGTCTGACACCTCTAAAGCTCGAAGCCTGAAACCCGATACCTTCCCGGCTGCCACTCTAAACCCCAAACCCTAAACCCTAAACCCCAAACCCTAAACCCTAAACTCCAAACCCTAAACCCTAAACCCCAAACCCCAAACCCCAAACCCTAAACCCTAAACCCCTGAACCTTAAACCTTAAACCCACTTGGGACACCGAGTCGCAATGGTGGACAACGTCTTCTTGAGGTGTGCCTTCTCCTGAAGTTAGGGTTTGTTTGCGCTTTCGGGAGTTTGGGGTTGTGGGTTTTGGGGTGTGGGGTTTCGGGTTTAGGGTTTAGGGTTTAGGGTTTAGGGTTTAGGGTTTAGGGTTTAGGGTTTAGGGTTTAGGGTTTAGGGTTTAGGGTTTAGGGCTAGGGTTTAGGGCTAGGGTTTAGGGTGTAGGGTTGAGGGTTTAGGGTTTAGGGCTTGGGGACTGTGCCAGCCTGATACCACTTCACTCCGGGCTTCCCAGGGCATCTTCAGCACAAACCTAAAGCCCCTCAAAAAGTTTAGGGTTTAGAGGTTAGGGTTTAGGGTTTAGGGTTTAGGGGTTAGGGTTTAGGGTTTAGGGTTTAGGGTTTAGGGTTTAGGGTTTAGGGTTTAGGGTTTAGGGTTTAGGGTTTAGGTTTAGGGTTAGGGTTTAGGGTTTAGGGTTTAGGGTTTAGGGTTTAGGTTTAGGGTTTAGGGGTTTAGGTTTAGGGGTAGGGTTAGGGTTTAGGTTTAGGGTTAAGGTTTAAGGTTTAGGGCTTAGGGCTTAGGGCTTAGGGCTTAGGGCTTAGGGCTTAGGGCTTAGGGCTTAGGGCTTAGGGCTTAGGGCTTAGGGTTTAGGGCTTAGGGCTTAGGGCTTAGGGCTTAGGGTTTAGGGTTTAGGGTGTCGGGTTTCGGGTTTCGGGTCCTGAACCCCTTAAACCCTGGATGCCATATGGGCTTCGGGGCCTCTACTCGTCGAAAACCCTAAAAACTCACCGCCTCGGCAGGGATGCGGGCCTTTGCCTCGGTGGCATTGACCTCCGCGCAGGGTCGAGATTCCGGGTTTAGGGTTTCGGGTTTCGGGTTTAGGGTTTAGGGGTTAGGGTTTAGGGTTTAGGCTTTAGGGTTTAGGGTTTAGGGTTTAGGGTTTAGGGGTTAGGGGTTAGGGTTTAGGGTTAGGGTTTTGGGTTTAGGGTTTAGGGTTTCGGGTTTAGGTTTAGGGTTTAGGGTTTAGGGCTGGAGCGGCGGGTATATGGTAGGATTTAGGCCTACACGAAGGGCCTTAAGGCCACATCCGAATGTTGGGATGTTCCCCATTATACTAATTAACCAATTATAACTGTACTTATAACCCACTTATAAGCCCATCAAGTGCCCTAGTATGGTTATAAGTACAGTCATAAGCACAGTTCTAACAGGTTAATAAGTACCGAGGTAGGGATTATAATCGGGGGGACTAAGAATCTAAAATCCCTAATAAGGCCTGTTCGTATGAAAGGCGAACATCCCAAGGCATGAGTGAGGTTCTAAGATTGAAAAGGTGAAAAAGAAACCCTAAACATCAATATCTTGATCGCATCTTTTCCTGGTGCTCAGAGTTAAGAACTGGGGCTTTGGGGTTAAGGATTTCGGGTCTAGGCTTACCTAAACCCCACTTACCCCACACCCTAAACCAACATACTTTACTGTAGATCCCCCAAGAATAAGGGTCCGGAATGTAGATACTCGTTTGGAGACGCCCCA